CATGTAAAGCAACCATAAGCACATGAAAAGACCTAGGTTTACAATTTATGATTAAAACTCTACTATCTACACAATATACATAGACATAAAATGTAAAAACTTAAATATCTTAGAAACAGTAGCCAATCAGTTGTTTTAATTGTCATATTTGAATTCAGCAGATCAAAATACATAATAAATAGCACATTTTATCTCTGAAGCAGACGACTTCTCAAAAATTGTAGATCAGTGTAACAGAGCTCCAAGCCACAACACGAAAGTTCTAACCCCTGTTCTGATTTAACTCACTGTGTTACCTTGGGTTGGTTTCTTAGCAACCTCACATGGATGTGGGGTAGGCTAATAATTGAATGTTTATACAGTGATTTGGGAATGTGGCATTCTCCACCCCTCAGAAGCCAGTAGAAGCTAAAAGCTGTTACTGTGTGAAAGCTATTTGGCAGCCTACATTGTGTATAGCAGTTCATTTTAGTCCTGTTCCTAATGCACAGCTATCCACATCTCTGAAAGCACCTACACAACTGTACCAGTTAGCACCAATTGTAATCGGGCAGCACACAGAGGCCAAAGACTGATTTGACTTGAAGACTGAACTACCCACACAACTCTAGGACTTGCTAGTGCCCTATTAATGTTAAGGTGCCTAGGAAGGCTTGTATTGTCATTGCCTTTAATCTGCATGTTCTGTGGATAAACTGAGGGCTTCATTTTCCAGGTCTGTCCGTGTGGCATCTTTCTACAAGAATGACATTTACTTACCATTTTAAAAGGAAATTATGATAGGAAAATTTATCTCTGTGTCTTCTAAGTATGGCAAAAGCACATTTAGCATTTTTCTCAGTATACAATTGAAACTAGAAGTGCACAGGGTCAGAATTTTGGCTTGCTTATCTGAATTCCACCTACCAGAATTTCAGATATACTTTTTTTTTAATGTATTGAACTATGTCTTTAATGAACATATTAATTCAAAGTATACAGCTAGATGATAAAACACTTTCCCCCTTAAATTTGTGAATGTTTGTGTGTACCTTAATTTGTTTCCCGAAATTTGCCTTTGCTCCAATAGAATTATATGATTATACCACTTTTATACCAACTGACGCTGGGGGCGTACATTACAAAAGACTTGGGTCTGCTCTAACCAATGCCAGCTGCAATGGCCCCTTAAGAGCTCTTCACAAATTACTGGAGTGGACAGCATCCTGGCCACTCTCTTAGCATGTCCTGTGCACCAGGGAGGCCAGATAGCATGGCATACAGCTGGCTGTGCTGGCTCTACATCAGCCAGAGATTCCCCTATGGAAAGGGAATGCCCAGCTGTCCACTTATGTCATCTTCTACCACAAAAGGGCCAGGCTATGGACCAGAGATCTGTCTCTACATTTTCTGATATTGTTATGGAGTAGCTAGGCATGAGAGAATGCAATAACATATAAGCATAGAAACATTAGCTGATACAGAAAAATCACAGTGCACAGGGTCATTATTCGAGATTATTAATGGTTATAATTGTAAGATTAATCTTGGGCCCAATCTTGCAGTCCTAACTCAAGCAAAACTCCCACTGACTTTAATGACAGTTTGTTTGAGTAAGCCCTTTGTACCAGAATTATTTCTGGAAATTGGAACAAGGAAGTGTATACAAAACAAGAGGGTAAAGTAAAGTGACAAAATCACAGAAAAGAACAGTCTGTACTCTTCTGTGTTTTTGACATTCAGAGTAGCTAAATGTTAATAGGTTAATGAATGCTCAAAAATAAGAAACATGTCTTAAAATTCTGAACGGGAGAGGACTGAGACAAGTGTTCCATATGCAAGACAGCTGTGTTTTTTTCACCATTTCTTACTCATCTCTAGTTTACTCAGGTTTGAGAGTAAATCTACCACACTGGCCA